AGAATACTACAGATAACAAATATATTATTTAAAGTAAAGTTTCTACAATATATATATATATATATAGACCTATTATATGAGAAGGCACGGTAGTCTAGTGGTAGGACGCCGGGCTCGTGACCGAAGACTTGCGGGTTCGAGCCACGGTACGGCACTGTGTTGTACCTTAGAACAAGATCTTTATTTAATTTGTTTCAGTCTATTCTGCTACAAATGTGTACGTGGGTGGGCAGTTCTTAAATTGTTGAATGCTATCTGTGAACTGGCAGCACCGGCTGTATGCTTCCAAGGGAGTTGAGAAAAATATTGGTTGCTGGTTGCAAAGGCCCTATAACCACGGATAATGATTTGTGAACCGCTTTGAGACGACCTATGAACTGGTTTGTGATAAAGTGGTATATAAGAACCCCGAACTATTATTATAAACGTCATGTCTTTGTAGAATATTGTATATAAACGACCATTTATATTGAATATTCATATTTCTATTAATTGAACTGTAAGTGACATAAATGTGAATATAAATATTAATGGTCATACCAATGTAGATTGTCAACTATTAACTATTTATCCATTAATGACTTTGAAACTTGTATTTAATATTCCAGGCACAAATTATACATTTATATGACATATTCAACGTGAAATTTACCTTTCTGGAAAGAATCTATTACTAAAAATAGATATCCTATAGAAATAATGTCATATTTTGCCAAAAAAACGTTGTATTCCGTCAATGTGAGATATATTTTTTAGATACAATATTTGTTCCATATATTTTATAATTGATGGACACACCGACATTATCAAGTTTCGTTCAGTGAGTATTTCTTTGCCTATCTGTTATAACAAAGATAATCATATCGTTGATAATATATTTCTTGATTGTTGACTGAGTCAACGTTCTGTTAACTGACCGATTAGTGTCACTGATGTCAAATTTCTATTAATTGACTGTCAAGTGTCTTTTATTTCAAAATTCTATTAATTGACTGTCAAGTGTCATTTATTTCAAAATTACATTAATTAACTGTAAAGTTTCATTGATGCCAATGTTTTAATAATTGGTTAAGTGTCAGTGATGTCAATGTTTGTTTTATTGACCGTTTAGTGTTACTGATGTAAATGTTTTTTAAATGGACCAAAAAGGGTCAATTATGTCGATTTTTTTTTCAATTGACTGTTAATTGACACCAGATGTCAATGTTTTTTAATCGACTCTGAAGTGTCATGGTGTCAAATATTTTTAATTGACTGTTGAGTGTCACTGATGTAGACGGGTTTTTTAATTGACCAAAAAGGTTCAATGATGTCAATGTTTTGTCATTCGACCAATCAATGTGGTGGCACAATAACAATTTCTGTTCATTGAACAGTATATAATATTTTGTCAGATTGTCAACTATTAATCATTTTGCCATTAATAACTTTGAAACTTGTATTTGATATTTCATTAACAAATTAATCATTCATTAACAAATTAATCATTTATATAACATATTCAAAGTGAAATTTACCTTTCTGAAAAGAATCTATTACTAACAAATGTACATGTCTATAGACTATGGATTTTTCCATATATTACATTATTGATGAACAGACCGACATTATCAAGTTTCGTTCAGTAAGTATTTCTTTGCCTATTTGTTATAACACAGATAATCATATCATTGATGATATATTGTTTTTTTTTCTTCTGAATTGAAAGACATTCAAATATGGCATCTTGCGATGTTATTTTGCTGTCGTCTACTGGATATTGTGGGTAGTTTGGGGGAGGGGGAGGTAGACGAATGGTGGTTAGTTTGCAAGTCGGCAGACGTAAGGTTGGTATGGTGTGTGTGAGCATATGTAAGGAGGGTATTTGTTGGAAGGGCAGATATAAGGTAGGTATTTTGTTGGAAGAAAGATAAACGCGCGGTGGGTAGTTTATAGGAAGACAAACAGAAGGTGGGTAGTTTGGAGGAAGATTAACAGGAAGGTGGTTAGTTTGTAGAAAGATAAACAGGAGGTGGGTAGTTTGTAGGAAGACAAACGGAAGGTGTGTAGTTTGGAAGAAGATTAACAGGAAGATGGGTGGTTTGTAGAAAGATAAACGGGAGGTGGGTAGTTTGTGGGATGATAAACGGGAGGTGGGTAGTTTGTGGGATGATAAACGGGAGGTGGGTAGTTTGTGGGATGATAAACGGGAGGTAGGTAGATTGTCGGTAGATAAACGGGAGGTGGGTAGTTTGTGGGAATATACTCATAAGATTGGTGATTTATATGGAGATGAACGTAAGGTACAATGTATGTAGTTTGTATGATATGTAACATTTAAAGATATATAACTATCTTGCCCAAGTGCTGAATAAAATACCGTATGTACTAAACTAACAATTATATTTGGTTCCAAAAGCAGATTCACGTTTTAATTAATTCTGAGTTTGATGAAGATGTTTAATTGATACGACAGCTTCAGTTGTCCGTGACTTCTACACCAGTAAGGTCAAACAATAGACAAAAGGCCGAACTTACCTACGTGACGATGGGAACTAAACTGAGCGGTGTGTACGCTTTGGATGTCTGCTCTGGATGATTATACGTGTACATTTCAACATTGGAATCTGAGAGGATGGCCTGTGGTTCACAACATGGAAGGATTCGCGATCGCGAAAAACGTGCAACCGTTATCGCGTTTCATGTGGAATTGGTGCACCGTTGTAGCTATATTACCATTATCTGTGAACAGATATTATGTAATATAACTTGTATTGTGTTAACTCTAGCACATTTTTATGATAATTTAACACACATTTATTTCATATCTTTGTTACCATACCGTTACATACCAAAAGTGTCATGTTCAACACAAGTAAAATTTGTCTAAAATATGTTTTAAAATAAGGGAAGAATGTAATAGGAATCGTTTTAAGAGTAATGTCCCGTAGGTGATACATAATAAGTGTTAATGTATTTGCGAAGCTTCTTCCAAATAAAAGGGAAATAATCCATTTATATGTGTATTGAATGATTAGTAGGATTAATATACATTAGAAATGTTAAATTATGATTTTATTCTAATTATAAAATATAACATAAGAAATACAAGAGTGTAGCATATATAGCGATGATATCATGAGGAAGGTAGGGGCGGGGCTGGTGGTGCCTTCGGAATTCATTGGACTTTTAGTAGTATCAGGTATTACACTGGTGCTCTGTTAGTAGTATGTACAAGGTGGTTGTACTTTTTTCATTTTTGAAATCAAAGGATCTGCTCTCACTTTTCATTTCTTCTTTACACCCTGGGTATATGTCATGACAAAAGGAAAGGCTCATTAAATACCTGGAGGATGATGTAAGTAGGATTGTCTAATATCTTTGATGTATAAGAAAGAAATCGTGCTACAGCTTCACAGTAAAATCTATGGATCTTAAACATTATAGAAAAAACTACACCAAACTTCAAAACCGGTGGATTTGTACATTATAGAAAGGCCACACCAAACTTCAAAACCGGTGGATTTGTACATTATAGAAAGGCTACACCAAACTTCAAAACCGGTGGATTCGGATTATTATAGAATGGCTATATTAAAGGACAGCTATTAGATCTAAGTTTTCTTTGTTTATACTTGAAACCAATAAAACTTTCTCACCGCAAGCCTTTATGATATATCCCTATGGTGCAGAGAGGACGTGTTTATCTAAACCAGAACCCGTAGACTTATAAGTTGTATTTTTGCTGATATATTGTTATCACTTTTATTACAATCATAAATTGTAAATAAAAAGGGCAGTTACGTCTGGTGTTTCGTTGATCATTTCGATGAACCTAAGATAAGAAATAATCCTGGTTTTAGCTAGTTAACAGGACATCTCACAAGTTATAGAAATTGGTTAGTACAGATTCTGTGTAGTGAAAATCTAACCTTTACACACCCTAACATACATATTGGTAACGCTGCAACAAAACAAAGTACGTTTAAACATTGTCACCTCTGTAAGAAAGTAGATTATATAAAAAGGAATAATAGTTTACATGTATTAACATACCTTAAATGAACGTAACAAGGCAACGTTGACACACAGGTTAAAGTGAATAGAAGATATATTTGAAAATACAAACAAAGCAAAAAAAAAGCACTAATAGATTAACGAACATAGGTAACACTGTCACACCTGCTGACTTAAAAACACGATGTACAGGTGAGATTTTAAGAGAACATTACGCTTTGGATACCTCTAGTTCCAAGTTAATAATTGAAACAAGGGCCATAACTCGTGCGAGTATATCGCTTGAGACGTATTAACCCCAACTTCATTTAAAATTGAAAACATTGGTTTTACCGTCAATCATTTTATTGCTAAGTTAACAAAAACAAATCTTTCGCTATTTTTCAGGAGTAAAGTTGTCTGTTTTACCTTAAAACATATATAAATTAAGCTTTTGTCAGAGTTGTTGAGTAGCATAAAAAAACTGTGAACTCAAACAAAGTTCTTTACATTAATACCGCATAACCTGTATACAATGTACTTCTATAGTATACTTTTATTCCCACACAATTTATATATAGTAATGAACCAATAGGTACAAGAACATTACATCTATCTCCCTAAAACATTCTTTTGGATTCTCCGAAAGGTTTTACTACGAATCAATGAATCAATAAGCCTAAACGGTGTACATGTTGATGTGAAATAGTTGAATAATTATGTTTTATTTAAATGTGGTATTCGTGGGTTTTGTTTACATATTTCGGTCTTTCCTTAACATCTATTTCGATGCTGTTTGAGATATGATTATCTGACGAAAACCTCATCTTTATAACAAAGGTTCAACAAGACGTCATGCTGGGTTTTGCGAAATATTCTGATGTTTCCCTTTTTACTACTATCATAATTTGGTTTCGTATCTAAATATACAAGTACATAAATGATATAAATATGCACAAACATTTGCAATTAAAAATTCAAAATTATATTGAATACAATTTGATTACTTGAGAATAAATCTTAAGGGGCGGTGCAAGCTAGCCGTTTGAGCATTTTCCTAAAGCTGGTTCCACGAACAAAGGAATATTTTATATCATGAATTTAGGTACGTAATGTTTTGTTGTTATGTAATTTAAAGACACGGTAAGGGCAGTATATGTAGTGAGGTATACGTAAGGAGATTGAGTCAAACTTGTATTAAGAGACTACCATCGAGAAATCCAAAAGGAGGTGATCTCATAACGTAGGTGGTCTCCTTATATAGGTTGTTACATGAGCAGGTTCACCTGTATACGCTAGGAGGTATACATAAGCAGACAGTACATTGATGTAGATAAAAAATCAAAATAGAAACCAAACCAGAGCTAGTTCTACGAAAAAGATTATCTACCCGAAATTATCTGGTTTGTACTCATGTGACGCTTTTTTGTACATATGTATCATTGACATAACTAGTTTGACTTCACTGATACCCGGTCCCTCGCCAATGATGGTAAGTGTTGCTGCATGTACTAAAATTATATTTTTTGTTTATTTATTCTATGCCAACTTCGCTATTGTTAGAGTACATTCCATAGTAACGATTTATATGGGGGTATGTCTCGTGAGAGAGGGGATACAGCCAGTGTATATTGGGATATGTCGCGACGGGGGACACGCCCAGTGTATATTGGGGATATGTCCCTTCGGGACACACCTAGTGTATATGGCCGGTATATCCTGTGAGCGGACACGCCCAGTGTATAATGGGGTTATGTCCCTTGAGAGGACACGCCCACTCTATACGGAGTATATATCCCGTGAGAGACACGTCCACTGTATATGGGCGATATATTCTGTGAGGGGACACGCACACTGTATATGGGTGATATATCCCGTGAGAGACACGCCCACTGTATATGGGTGATATATCCCGTGAGAGACACGCACACTGTATATGGGCGATATCTCCCGTGAGGGGACACGCCTACTGTATATGGGCGATATCTCCCGTGAGGGGACACGCCCACTGTATTTGGGCGATATCTCCAGCGAGAGACACGCCCACTGTATATGGGCGATATATTCTGTGAGGGGACACGCACACTGTATATGGGCGATATCTCCCGTGAGGGGACACGCCTACTGTATATGGGCGATATCTCCCGTGAGGGGACACGCCCACTGTATTTGGGCGATATCTCCAGCGAGAGACACGCCCACTGTATATGGGCGATATATTCTGTGAGGGGACACGCCCACTGTATTTGGGCGATATCTCCAGCGAGAGACACGCCCACTGTATATGGGTGATATATCCCGTGAGGGGACACGCCCACTGTATATGGGCGATATCTCCCGTGAGGGGACACGCCTACTGTATATGGGTGATATCTCCCGTGAGGGGACACGCCCAATGTATATGGGCGATATCTCCAGCGAGGGAACACGTCCACTGTATATGCTGTCTATTCATGTCAAAGCTGCTGCGACTTACTCCTCTTGTTACTTCGGTTTCCATAACAAAGTGAGTCGTTCCTTGTGTTTTTTTGTGAAATGCTTGATCGATCAAGAGGCCTTGATCAGGGCCGGTATTGATCACCTGGATATTTAGGCAGTCAACACGTGATTCCCTGGTCAAAAGGGTTAATTATAAGATCAAATGTTCCGGAAGAAAAGGTTTTTAAAAGACGGAAACACACAAATGATCCTTTAACGGCATTGCCTGTCGGCAATCTACCACAATTGATTTCAAGGACTACGTATGTTTCATAGCAAAGATATGTGTCGCGTGAGGTAGGCCGGACACATATTTTAGTTCGCCGTTATGACACAGTCTAAAAAACTACGATTGTAAGTGTATTCGTTGAATCCGCGTTTTTAAATAGTACATTTACGTTCACTTTGGCATCATTAGGTACTGCCAGAAAAGTCGATTACGCCGCGGAATATACTTTCATTGGAACGGGAACACCATTAAATTGCATTTGAAATCATTTTGCTTCTGTATGGTGGCTTGTTAGTGCCAAATAGCATATCTCGTAATCTACGTATTCGACATAAGGGCGGCGTTGTCGTATTCAAATCTTTTTAATAGACTCTATACTGATTAAAATATGCAGTGAGCGTTCTTTAATGTTTCATAAAATGCTGGCATAGTGACTAAAACGTTCCTTATTATTAGCTGTTCTTGAATTTATTCACAGCGTATAGGTCTGATAAAAACCTGGACAATGATCAGCAAGCAGTATATGGCATTAGGATGGGGATCTAAATCGTTTCGATATTCTGACCCAAAGACAAAGTCCCCAATGATTGGAATAAACCTTTTGGTCAAGTCCAGTAACAACAATTTTGTAAATGGTTATTAGGTAGTGAACTGAAACAAGATTCTGTTTTAATACAAGAGCCTAAGTACCCTGGGGTGGGGTCAGACCCGTAAACCTACCTGCTAGTGTGGGTATATTTATCACATGATACCAAGCAATTTTTTATATTAGATCAGAGATAAGTTCATGGGACGGGTCACAAACTGATGGGAGCTGACCTTGAAGTTTATCCTAGTAGCATGGTTATATTGGCTTGTAGTATAAGTGTACAATTTCCATGGCTCTTGATTTGATTTGGTTTGAGCTGGGATTTTGATGATGGTAGAAAACGGGAGTTCAAGGAGAAAAAACACTGATCTGTGGCCAGTAACTGGCGACTGCTCCCAAGTGGCCTCGAACCCGCGACCCAGTGGCAGAGGGCTATAAACAATTAATTGTAAGACACCTAACCAAGCGGCCACCACGGCCCCTAACTCCCTGATTTAAAGTATGGAACTAGTTGAAATCTCAACCCAAAAATAGGGCCTCCCTTTGACTATCCAATCATATTACTATAATGATTGACCAATCACATTAAGTCATGACAGAAGCATTAGTATTGTACTTGGTAATGTAACATATATAAAGGCACCTTATGTCTATTAAAGAGGGATTGTGCTATATTATGGTGTTTTGTGTTTATTTTTTTATTGATGGTAACATATGTCGATAATATCTTCTCAAAACCAAACAATTTTCAATAGGAAGGACTGAAAGTTAAATTTGACTAAAATACAAGTTCAAATGCATCACCTTGCCACACAACCGGTTATTTCCTCGCGTATCATGTATTTTGGGCTATTTGTTTTCATTTAAAACTGAGAATATATGATATACACGGATTTAAACTTCGCGATCTGAAGATTACCTATCTAATTTTAATACTTACTGCTCCCGATGTCAATTTTCAAACATATATCATGATGTTTTGCTAAAAAATGTGTATTTATATGTATTCATGCATCGCTTGTACCTACCCAGTAAATTAATCTCTTTGTTTTAGTACACCTGGCATGAAACAAAATCTATGTAAACTATCACACTAGCCACATGATAAGGTCGTTTTAGATTACAGATATCTATGCCTGATAACTGCGATACTGGCATAGCAGTTATAGGAGCCTGAAATGCACTTGTTTTCGCGGATAAGATCTAAGCGTTTCATAATATTACACAGATCGAATTTTCACGATCATGTGTATTCTCATTGAGTTATCGGAAACATCATTCCCGCGACAATAACAAGCCCCTTAAAACGACTTCTAATGAATCACATGATGAAAAGCCGAATTACCTTTAATCAAATCAATTAAAACTCATACTAGGGCACACCGTTTAAAACTATCAAAAACTTAATATCTTATCTTCTGAAGAATAAACAACAAGTGTAGACGGCGAACTGTAAAATGTGCTTAAATTTCTTCTTTGAGTAAATTCAAAGTCACAGGGCCAAATAGATTATCTTTTTAAATGGCATCGCCTTATCTTATAACGAATTTTAAAATGTATAAAAAAAAAATTATATTGAACAAATACAAAATCACGAAGACCGAAATATTTTATAACCAAAAACTGTACTGATTATGCGATATAAAGTCATGCTATTTGGCATTTTACTTGCTGGTATCAAGTTTATCTAAATAGTGTCAATATAAACCTTGTATTTTATTATTGTGAAAACTCAGATTATATTTGTTAACAATATTAAGTATTTGTTTTGCAGAAACTGCTGGAAGTACGATAATGAAATCATGACTGCTCTCTTGTACGAAGAAACGCTTAAACAGGATCTGGGAAAATTTCCATCAACCTTTGATTTTGATTTGACGAATCTGACCAAGCACCGTGTACAGATCACCATAAGGAAATTAGAGGATGACCGGGACAGCACAAGAAAGCTTGAAACTGAAGATATACAGATAAGTAACTTTCTGTCGTATTTGTATTTCTTGTTGGAAGACTATGAGCATGCGCATCAATATATTGATGAGTCTCTACAAAGAGATCCTGATAATATCATAGCGAACGTAAAAAGAGCCAGAATTCTATTAGAAAATGGGGATATTTCAAAAGTAGAAGATGCCATAGCAAAACTTCAGAAATTGGAGAGACGAGAAGATTACAACAAGAGGAAACATAATGCGGAAGCAGATCTTGCGTACGCCTACACACGGTCAGGTCCTTGGTACCACCAAAAGGCAATATATCTGTACACCCAGGTTCTGGAGGCATATCCTACTGAATACGCATGGCAATATGGACTTGGTTTGGCTTTACTCAGACAGACGCACAGTTTGATTTCACAGGAAAACGACAAATTAACTCCGAGAGAAAACGAGAAGACAACAATACATGCTGCTGAGCTGTTTCTGACTGTTGCTACGGAATCAGATGATTCCAATTTACGTACAAATGCATATGCAAGATTAGGAAAAGCAGTGTATAACATTTCGAGAAACAACTATACAAACGTGCCTGATGAAATTATGCGTTTAAAGCCTAAAGAATATTTTGAAAAAGCGGTAGAGATTTGTCCTGAGGAACCATCGGTGTTAGAAATGTGTGGTCAATTTGCACGCTACAGAGGGGAACTAGATACATCGGAAAAACTCCTACGGAAATCTCTTCAAATCAAGCCAACGTGTCATGCGTATCACCATCTTGCCTTGACATTACAGAGGCGAGTAGAATGCAAAGGTCCACATGGAGGTTCACGCTATGGCTACAGCCAGAATGAAAATTGGCGAGAAAAAGGGGCATCGAGAGAATGCATGTCTGACCAGCAGTCAGAAAGGACAAGAAGAAACCTTCGTCAAATGATTAAGTCACCGTTGAAAGTCCCTATTTACCCTGGAAACAAACACCTTTCTGAAGCCATAGAACTACTGGAGAAAACAGAAGAACTGTCTGAATATGCTCTGAATATACAGTACGACAAGGGCATCATATATAGAATGCTAGGCCAAATTGAAAAAGCTGTGGAAGTTTTCAAAAACATAGTCACCAAAAAGAAACATTATCCTACCGAATTTCTGATGACAAATGTTTATGAACAGCTGGGACTGTGTCTGCTAGAATTGAGTAAATCCGTAGATATCTCTCCAGACATTCAGCAGAAATACAAAAAAAGATGGCAAAGTCCATCTCCTACATGCTGTCCAACTCCAATCGGAGACGGTTGCAAACGATCCACAGTTCAAAGAAGCATGGAACGCCTATCCAACACTCAAAGAGCTCTTCAGCGATGAACGAAACAAGAAGCCAAAACAATTGGCAGTTTTGCACATGCTCATGGAGGATCATAAAGATTCGATGTCCATATACGAGGAATTACTTTTGAAGGAGAAAGATAAAACGAACCAAGAGGATTATATTAACTTGCTTGAATGCTATAAGAGAGATGGACAGTTTGAAAAATGTGTTGTTGTTTTAAAATCTTTGGAGTGTACAACTATTTTTTTGGGTCTTCCTCCGTCTTTGATCTTTGGTGTGTATGTAGATTGCGCGTTTCACGCTTACACAACGGATAACGCACAGCTTGCGAACCAACACTTTAGACGCGCCTTCAGAGTGTACGGTAAGTTCAAGATCAATGAAGACCAAACCAACGTTGACGAAGACGAGGCCACAAAAGACATACTGATATTACACTCTTGTTCCCATGACTCGGAATGTAAACTTCCTAGAAATCTAGGAACCATTCTAGAAGATGTAACAGGATTACGATACACAATCAACTCAGACGACGTGCTGCCAAATGAATTACTATTGACATCAACGGCTTCTATAATACAGAAAATCCCATGTATCATAATCATGACCCACGAGTATGCGGACTCCACGAGTGTGGATCAATTATTTGTCGATCAAGCTATCAAGAGCAGTTCCGAACAAAGTGGCCCTCAAGTGTTGGTCGTGACGGACGACGAGTCCAACATGCCAGATATTGCCAGAACAAAGTCGTTTATCCGGATGCCTCCTCCGTTAGAGGGCGCTATGGAACCAACCGAACAGATACCACAGGAGCATCAAGAATGGGTGAAAGAGTTCATCACTCTTCTGAAACCAAAATAACTAATTTGTTTCCATATTGCTATAACTGCCACTATATTCGTTTGAGTATCCTCGTATAACTGCTAGGGTTAGCCCTTCATGCATTGCGGAACTTTTATTACAAAATCATATAAAGGAGTAATTAACAAAACATAATCAACAATAGTGTTCAGAGTTTGAAAATTCAGCCAGCAGGAGCTAAAATTGTATTCGAATCCTAGACTTCAGATTGTTATACTGTCCCTCTAACCAACCTAGCTACCTGCTCAACGAAAGTGTTCTGATCCAACTATGCTACAGTTTTATACGACGCGAAATTTAAGGGAGGTTACTGTACATACGAACAACCGAGAGTGCATTGGCACAGATGTCCTAAGCATATTTCAACAACTGAGGAAACAACTGATCAGTTAAACATCAGCAGTCATAACAACAGTGTACACTTTTGTCTTAGTGTTCAGAACATCGCTGAACAAGTTTGCGTTCAGTCATTATTTTATCACTGTACAGTATCGCGCGAGCACTCGTTACACCAGCTAATTGTTTGAAGTTACTGAAGAATATGTTCGATAAAAATTCTTATGTATTCCAAGCCCATCAAATTACCAACAATGAATATAATGAGCCTTGCCTATGAAAAATATTCCATTTAAAGAAAAGTTTCTACAATATATATATAAAGGAACCTCTTCTCTAAAAAGTCATATCAATGTAGAATATTGTACATAAACAACCATTCAATACAGTATGCTTTATATATAAAAAGTTTTCTACATTTGTATATTATTTTTTTAGATTTTTTTAGACAATTAACGTTTTATAGTTATTTTTCTTGATTGTTGACTTAAGTGTTACTGACGTCAGTGCTCTGTTAATGTACTTTTTAAGTGTCACTGATGTCAAATATCTATACTTTGAGCTTTTTGTGTCACTGATGTTAATGTTCTGTTAATTGACCGTAAAGTGTCACTAATGTCAATGTTCTATTAATTGACCGTAAAGTGTCACTGATGTCAATGTTCTATTAATTGACCGTAAAGTGTCACTAATGTCAATATTTTATTAATTAGCTGTTAAGTGTCACTGATGTCAAATCTTCTATTGATTGGTTGTTAAGTGTCACTGATGTCAATATTCTATTAATTGACCGTTAAGTGTCACTGATGTCAATGTTCTATTAATTGACCTTTAAGTGTTAATTATGTCAACGGATTGTTAATTGACTTTAAGTGTCAGTCATGTCACTGTTGTATTACTTGACTATACGTGTCAATAATGCCAATTGTTTGGCTTTTGCTGTTGTCACTGATGTAAATGATTTGTTAATTGACCATTACGTGTCAATGATGTCATTGGTCTATTAATTGCCAATGATGTGAAGTTTATGTTAATTAACCGTTAGTTGTCACTGATGAAAATTGTCTGTTAATTGAATTTTGTCACTGATGTGAATGGTTTTTTTTAATTTTTAACTTTAGTGTCACTGATATCAACGTTGTGTTAATTGTCGGTAAAGGGTCACTGATTTCAATGTTTTTAGATTGACCTTAAAGTGTCACTGTCAAAGCAAGTATTTGTTCCATATATTTTATAATTGATGTCCAGACACACATTTTCGTTCGGTAAGTGTTTCTTTGCCTATTTGTTATAACACAGATAATCATGTCTTTGATAAAAAATTAATAAAAAAAATCAAAGTTTAACTTTTCCTGATTGTTGACTTACCCCTACGTCCACTGACGTCAACGCTCTGTTAACTGATCATTAAGTGTCAGTGGTGTCAATGATTTTGAAATTGAACAAAGAGTGTCACTGATGTCAATGTTTGTTTAATTGACCGTTTAGTGTCACCGATGTCAATGATTTTTAAATTGACCAACGAGTGTCACTGATGTCAATGTTTTCTTAATTAACCGTAAAGAGTCACTGATGTCTTTGCTTGTTTAATTAACCGTTTATTGTCAGTGATGTCAATGTTTTTAAATTGACCGTTAAGTGTCACTGATGTCAATGTTTTTAAATTGACCGTTAAGTGTAAGTGATGTCAATGTTTGTTTTATTGACCGTTTAGTGTTACTGATGTAAATGCTTTTTTGATTGACCGTAAATTGTCACTGATGTCACTGTTTGTTTAATTAAGCATTGGGTGTTACTAATGTCTTTTTTTTAATTGACCAAAAAGTGTCAATGATGTCAAAGTATTTTTATTTGACTATTTAGTGTCACTGATGTTAATGTTTTTTAAATTGACTAAAATGGGTCAATGATGTCAATGATGTCAATGTTTTGTCATTCGACCAATCAATGATGCACAATAACTATTTTTGTTCATTGAACCGTATGTTATATTTTGTTAGATTGTCAACTATTATTCATTTTGCCATTAATAACTTTGAAACTTGTATTTAATATTACAGGCACGAATTATCCATTTATATGACACATTCAACGTGAAATTTATTTTTCTGGAAAGAATCTATTACTAAAAAATAGATATGTCTATAGAAGTGATATCATATTTCGCCAATTTTTTTTTTTTTCCAACAATTTTTTGTTAATACAAAGCAAGTATATTAATGTTGTTCCATATATTTCATTATTGATGAAGAGACCGACATTATATAAAGGATCCTCTTCTTTAAAACAATCATATCTATGTAGAATATTGTACATAAACAACCATATTTATTGATTATTGAATGTAAAGAACATTGTTAATACAGTATGCTTTATATATAGAAACTTGTCTATGAAGACATTTGTCTGTTTATTTTCTACTCTTTTTTTAGACAATTAACGTTTTATAGTTATTTTTCTTGATTGTTGACTTAAGTGTTACTGACGTCAGTGCTCTGTTAATGTACTTTTAAGTGTCACTGATGTCAATATTTTATTAATTGACCGTTAAGTGTCACTGATGTCAATGTTCTATTAATTGACCTTTAAGTGTTAATGATGTCAACGGATTGTTAATTGACTTTAAGTGTCAGTCATGTTAATGTTGTATTACTTGACTATACGTGTCAATAATGCCAATGGTTCGCCTTTTGCTGTTGTCACTGATGTAAATGATTTGTTAATTGACCATTAAGTGTCAATGATGTCATTGGTCTATTAATTGCCTTTAAAGTGACAATGATGTGAAGTTTATGTTAATTAACCGTTAATGATGAAAATTGTCTGTTAATTGAATTTTGTCACTGATGTCAATGGGTTTTTTTAATGTTTAACTTTAGTGTCACTGATATCAACGTTTTGTTAATTGACGGTAAAAGGTCACTGATTTCAAAGTTTTTAGATTGACCTTAAAGTGTCACTGATGTCAATGTTTTTAGATAGACCTTAAAGTGTCACTGATGTCGATGTTTTTAGATTGACCTTAAAGTGCCACTGATTTCAATGTTTTTAGATAGACCTTAAAGTGTCACTGATGTCGATGTTTTTAGATTGACCTTAAAGTGTCACTGATGTCGATGTTTTTAGATAGACCTTAAAGTGTCACTGATTTCAATGTTTTTAGATTGACCTTAAAGTGTCACTGATGTCGATGTTTTGTTATTTGACTGTTGACGGTTGCACATTAACTATTTTATTATTGTACAGTACGTGACATAAATTTGAATATTTTGCTCATAAATTAACCATTTATCCATCAATAACTTTGAAACTTGTATTTAATATTCCAGGCACGAATCATGCATTTATATGACATATTCAACGTGACATTTACCTGTCTGGAAATAGTCTATTACTAAAAACAATAAATATATCTATAGTAGTGATATCATATTTTGTCAAAAGTCCTTTTTTTACACCAAAGTTACCATGAATTTTTATTTGGATACAAAGCAAGTATTTGTTCCATATATTTTATAATTGATGTTTTCGTTCAGTAAGTGTTTCTTTGCTTATTTGTTATAACACAGATAATCATGTCTTTGATAATATAAAACAAAAATAATCAAAGTTTAACTTTTCCTGATTGTTGACTTACCCCTACGTCCACTGACGTCAACGCTCTGTTAACTGATCATTAAGTGTCAGTGGTGTCAATGATTTTGAAATTGAACAAAGAGTGTCACTGATGTCAATGATTCTTTACTTAACCGTAAAGAGTCATTGATGTCTTTGTTTGTTTAATCAACTGTTAAGTGTCACTGAATTCAATGTTTGTTTAATTGACCATTTAGTGTCACCGATGTCAATGCTTTTTTAATTGACCAAAGAGTGTCACTGATGTCAATGTTTTTTGATTGACCGTAAATTGTCACGAATGTTAATGTTTTTTAAATTGACCAAAGAGTGTCACTGATGTCAATGATTTCAATGTTTTGTCATTCGATCAATCAATGTTGCACAATAACTATTTTTGTTCATTGAACCGTATGTTATATTTTGTTAGATTGTCAACTATTAGACATTTTGCCATTAATAACTTTGAAATTTGTATTTAATATTACAGGCACGAATTATCCATTTATATGACATATTCAACGTGAAATTTACTTTTCTGGAAAGAATATGTTACTAAAAGATAGATATGTTTATAGAAGTGATATCATATTTCGCCAATTTTTTTTCCATCAATTTTTTGTTAATTCAAAGCAAGTATATTTGTTCCATATATATTTTATTATTGATGAATAGACCGACATTATCAGGTTTCGTTCAGTTAGTATTTCTTTGCCTATCTGTTATAACACAGATAATCATGTCGTTGATAATTGGGTTTTTTTCTTTCTCAATTTAAAGAATTTAAATAATGCATCTTGCGATGTTATTTTGCTCTCGTCTGCTGGATAATTTGGCTTGTTTCGGGGAAGGGTAGGGTAGACGTATGGTGGTTAGTTTGCAAGTCGGCAGACGTAAGAATGGTATTGTGTGGGTGAGCATATATAAGGTGGGTATTTTTTGAAAGGGCAGATATAATTCAGGTATTTTGTTGGAGGACAGATGCAAGATAGGTAGTTTTTGTGAAGACAAACGGAAGGTGTGTAATTAGTAGGAAGATTAACGGAAGGTAGGTAGATTGTGGAAAGATAAACGGAAGGTGGGCAGTTTGTGGGATGATAAACAAAAGGTGGGTAGTTTGTGGGAAGACAAACGGAAGATGGGTAGTTTGTGGGAAGATAAACGTAAGATGGGTAATTTATATGAAGGTAAATGTAAGGTACAATGTATGTTTTTTAAGTGAATTAATATATAAAATAACCTTGCCTTATTGTTGAATGAAATACTTCATTAACTTACATTTAAATGTGATTCATTGTAAAGCAGAAACACGTTTTCATTAATCCTGAGTTTGGTGAAGATGTTTTATTGATACGACGGCTTCAGTTTTCCATGACAAAAGATGGAACTTACCTACGTGATGATGGGAAATAAACTCAGTGGTGTGTGCGCGCTGTGGGTGTCTGCTCTAGGTGATTATACGTGTACATTTCAACATAGGCGTCTGAGTGGATGACCTGTGGTACACAACATGGAACAATTCGTGATTGCGAAAAACGTGCAACCGGTATTGCGTTTCTTGTGGTACTGGTGCACCGTTGTAAAAGGGAAGAATGTAATAAAAATCGCTTCAAGAGTTATGTCCCGTAGGTGAAACATAAGTGTTTATGTATTTGCGAAGTCTCTTCCAAATAAAAGGGAAATAATCAATTTATATGTGTATTGTAGTTGTTCAAAAGTAGTTCTATCGTTTTGATGTTAGCTTGAAATGATGATTTGAATGATTAGTAGGATTGATATAC